AAAGAGACCAAATTTATTCATCTTAAATATCAGGCCATTTGTCGACATAAATATATCGTCGAAATATACCGAAAGACTGTTTATATTGTTTAATAAACTGCCGGAAGAGAAGATCTTCCTCTCGTCGGCGCCGTTAAAGTCGATTGAATAGAGTGTGAAATGAATGTCCAAAAAGTAATACCGTTTTATGAAGACATCGATTGACAGACAAAATATTTGCTTATCATTTGAGTATAGAGTCGTCTCATTGGATCCGTCTTGAAATGAACGCACAATTCGTGGTTTGATTCCCAAGTGATTCCACACAAGACTATTGTCCATAACGTTGACCACCAGATCGTGCGGTTCTTGATTTGTCACATTCACAACCGGGTAATAGTCATACGGTTTCAATACGTTCAACACATTGATAGTTCTGGTGTCCAAATCAATCCAATACAACAGATCGTGGATCCAATCGATGGTAACGCAGATGGGATTCTTGGAGAACCGGATGGCAGTCCTCTCGGACACTAAACTCGCAGTTTTGGCCACAATTGGCGCCACATTTATCTGATTTAAAGTCATGTCTATCCACGCCATGTAATTCCCGGCAATACTATAGTCAATAGATTGAGGCAAAAGTGTACCCGAATATAACATTTCGACATTGGATTCATTGCCTGAGCTATTGTTTAATGGCTTTAAATTGATTGTAAGCGAAGCCGAAAACAATATTTTTGAGCTTTTTGTGTCATTCATATGACTACATGTCTTTAGTTTGTCTACAAATATACGATTATTAACTAATTTAGGATTAATAAAAATGTACTTAACATGATATTACCATTGATCTGATAGCCCGGTAGGCACTGACAGGTATAGGAGCCGTTTATATTGACGCACCCGTGACCCGAACATAACCCGTATGTCTCCTCACATCTGATTTAATTAATGTGTAGATAATTGCAAAATTAATTTAAACAATACAATCATCAAAACTGTAAGGTTTACTCATTTATATCCACACATCTATTATTGACATCTCGGGTCCCTTCAGAACAGCCTATTATTTAAATATAAAATTAATAATTTATTATTTTATTTTAAAAAAATATAAAAATAATTAACACCAAGGTGAAAATTTTAATGAGCATGGTTATAAATTAATTTCTTAATTAATAAATAGTTGTGAAATACTTTGACAGAGGACATCATGAATGCAACAAAATTGTTTGAAACCACAGTCTCCGGAATCAAAGTGGTTGTATTGCCACAGGTTTTTGGAGCAACATTCTCGTTTGGGCACACAATGGCCAACACCCCTGTATATGCCCTTCCGTACGCACGGGTATTTAAGACCATGTGCATTACCATGGTCAGTTTTGGGACCAAATTTTGGTTGCGCTCTCGTAAGCTTATCAAATAGTTCCGAATCCGTTGACGATTCTATAACTATAATAATTAATAAAATTATTAATATTGTTATTTCATATTTAATTAACATATTTATAATTTAATATTATTTTTAACAATAATTTGTTGCATTTATACAGTATAATGCATTATACTATAATGAATATATTTGGTAACAGAGTATAAATACTGTTAAAAAAATTGTTGGTAAATTTGAATTTATTTTTATATTATAATTGTCTTAATTTTTAATTAAGTTTAAATATATGTATGTTTTTAATTTGCCTTTTGTTATAAAATGTTTGATATTTGGATATCATATGAAATACAATAATCATTCACTTAAAGTGATTGATTAATAATAGTTTGAATAGTTTATAAATTACATTTATGGTTTAACAAAACTTTGCATTATACACTTGAACTTGAAGTTCAATTAAATTTTTAAATAAATTAAATTTAAAAAAACAAAAAGAAAAAAGTTGACATTTTATTATAAATTAAACAATGTAAAAATCTTATATACGTTTAATCTTAATAATATCTGATTATAAGTGAATGATGGATGAGTTTAATTTATTATACTGTTTTATATGTAATATTGAATAAAAAAATACTGTATTAAAAATTATTTCCCGATTATAGAATATTTATAATTATAATAAAATTTATTAAAATTTATAATATAATATTTTACATGTTTTGTCTAGTGTTTAATTTAAACATAAAATTAAATAGAATTTTTAGTTTATTATTTATTTCATATTTTGTAATGTACTTATTGTATTGATATTTATTTGTCGATTAATAATTATACTTTATAATTTTAATTCAACAATTGACATTGAACAATTAATTGTGTTATATTTTTAATTAATAGCGACACAAATTCTTTAAAATTATATACAATATATTTAATACAAAATTTTTATAAGTCTACTATTCAACAAGTTTAAATAAAGATGATATTAATGATAGTAAATAATATAAAATTTAAATTCATATTGATACAGTGAAAAATATGTCACACTTTACATTTAAATAAATATCATATAAAATTATTTAATTAAGTATTAACTGTTGCAGAAATACTAACATGGAAAATTAAAAGTTATAATAGTTTTATGCAAATGGGAAACCCTCTAAAACCAATGCAAATATATTTCTCGATGGAAAGACAACTTAATTATTGGTGTTTTTAAAATAAATTTCTTGAAACAATTGTTTAAATTTTCTCTTTACTCAATACTTTAAAGTAGTTTTTAAATAAAATTTTAATTGATTGCGACAAACAGTCAAACATATCTTATCAACTTATTATTATAACAAATTTAATTAAATCCTTGTTTCGATAATTTAAAACATAACAAATGATAACACAATTTTTGTTGGATTTTGTTTTAACAATTGTTTAAAAGTAGTATTTCTTAAAAACATGAAAATGACTCTCATTTTTAGTTTGTAAGAAATAAATCTAAATTAAAATACAACAAATATCGGGACCGGAATTAAATGACTATCCATTTGTAAATTACAACAAAAGTTATTGAATTTTTACGACTAATACTAATGAATTGGTCTGTGTTTGGGAATTGGGTTCACAATTACATAACAAATAGATAAACAAATAGTGAATGAATTGACATAACTTAACCTAAAAACAGTCCCGTATTTGAAATTCAATACAAAACACACGCCGGGAATGACAATAAAACTTTGTGAATAAAACGCTGTTTAAATACCAGAATTAATACCCGATGTATATTTAAAATGCATAGTAATTTTCCACTATAAATGTCTCATTACTTTTTAGTTTCCTAATTCTTTATGATAATAATATTCGCAAATAGTTTATATAATAAATCGTGCATTCATTCAATCAATCAGTTATTTATATTATTTACACACATATGGTATACAAAGTGTTGATAACAATTTAATACCCAATCTTACAGTTAATCTCTTGTTTTTAAGTTATTATTTTTGTAATTTATTATTACCTGCATTTCAAGTAACTAATTATTGTACTTAATTTGTTTATAAACAACCAAGTGGGTAATACAAAGTTTGTTACTTGCTCTATTTTATGTTCATTGTTTGTAAGCAATTCTTTTGTCAAGTGTTTTACATAAACAAGTGTTTGTTATAAATCTTATGATAATTGATTTATGACATTAATTCAACATAATTAACAGTTGGGAACAACGCGTAGACATACCGGTAAATATCGATAATAATTATGTTTTGTTTGTCTCACAAAATATACAAAAGAAAACAATGGGTTAATTAAAATCCATGTATTTTTGAAATTTATTTTCTTTTAATTATCTGATAATATATTTACAGAATTTCTACAGAATTCAGTAATTTTAATGTAAAACACGTCAACCGCTTATCGGTATTTGAAAACATCAGATAAAAAGTTTGCTAACATTTTGTACACAAAAATTTCTTCAATGAAATACAATAATATATTTTCTGTTTTACCAAAAGTTTTGATAGTATTTTATGAGTTATTATTGTTGTTGTTTTTAATATGTAAAATGCAATGCAATTCAATAAAAAAGTTTAGCACAAATCCATTAATTGTTTATTTCCTTTAATAAATACGATAGTAATCACTATTGTTTAGTAAAGGTATTAATAAATCAATTAAGGGATCACATGAATTACCGTCTAAATTGCCCTTGTGTATTTTATGATACAATTACTCATACAATAGCAGTGCACACAACACACACATGGATCCCATCCCCTCCTAATCCATATCCATCTCTAAGACAACTGTTTCTGATTACAAGAATCTTATAAACAAATTAAATGCTTTATAAATAGCTGTTAAATCCCATTGTAATCATTTAATCGACAATTTATTTTTACACTTTATTGTAATTATCGTCGAGAGAAAAGTCATTCACAAAATTGCTATTTTTATTATAACACTAATAGAGAGTAAGACGAGAGTGAGATATAATGTCCGCCGTTTGGGTCATCATTACTATACCGACCAAAGAGTTTGAGCTCGAGATTAAGGAAAGAGAGAATCTCTTGGATGTGAAGCGACCGAAGATTGTCAACAAATGTATGTTTTATTTCTTATTATATTTTTAAAGATATATGTAAATTTTATGGCTTATAACAACTAAATTGTTTAATTTTTGTACTTATACGTTAAAATAAGAGTAAGATGTTTAGGATCAATATTAATAGGGACAATATAATATTAATTTTATAAACTAGCCAGATTCATTTCACTAATAATTGCATTTTACATGTCAATTGAATGCATACATTATAACCATAGTAATTTAATAATGAATTTATTAATGAATTTATTTGTTTGTTTTGTGTTATTGATATCAGTATTGAATAGTATTGATACACATGTATAGCATGTATACAATGAATGTTTTTGTAGATCAGATAATTAGCTACAATTCTTGGGATAGAACAGATTGAATTTGTCGTTACAATTAATATAACATTGAAATCAAGGTAATTTTTTAATCAATTCCTTGTAAACTCGGCCAACAGCTCACAGGAAGAATATTTACACGAAATGCAAATGAAATTCTTATAGAAATTGGTGAATAATTTCACTCTTTTATTGGGTATTAATTTAATATAAACAATGAAATTACAAACAGACAAACAAAAAGTGATTTCTGGTATGTCTGGAGACAAATGAAATGTCGGTGCAAATTGAGATTTCATATAATCTTTTACATTAAGTGTCTATAGATATGTATATTTTCGCTGTAAGACGTGAGCACCGGTAGTACACTATTGACGAGTGTATTAATGAGTGCATACCTGTTTGGTTATGTGTTATTTTTATCATTTAATAAAATATACCTCATATGAACTGATCAAACATTTACATATCGATTACATTGTAAACATTTTGAGTTTGAAAGTAATGATTTTATTATACATTTACTTTGTTTAAATAGTTTATAAACTTTATATCATTTCTTTGGCAAATATTTTACATTTAACTTTATTTAAGATTTATTAAATTAAATAAACTTGCTAGATTCAATAAACCTTTACTTGTATCAGGCAATTTACCGCAATGAAAAAATCTAAGAATTTACTTAATTATAATACAATTAATAAATATAAAAAATCCATAAAATTAATCTATAAAGCAAATAATGTAATCCTATAATTATGAAATAACACGATTCAACATTATATCCAATATTATATATAATAAATTACCCTGATAATGTAAAATCGTGTGGTAATTGTATTATTTTAATCTACATCATCAGCGTCCTGCAATTAAATCATTAAAATGTCCATAATTTACGGTTAATCGCTAAATAATACGAGTTAAAACTAGAAAATGATTTTGTTGCAAATGTGGTTCACTATATCTTTACAATATATGTTATAAATTATTTCATTCATAAAACTAGACTAAAATAGACTGAAATTCATTAAAATAGTAGTGAATTGTCGTTTAGCGGAAGAATTATTAACTTATTATATAATGTAAGTTAACTAAACGATCTGATAATCACTATTAACTCTATGTATAAACACATCATTTTCATAGGAATCATAAAAATCATAATTCTTTCACTTTTAGACAATTTGTTATGTTTTTCTCTCATATCATTGTCACTACAATCAGTGCATTGAAAAATGTAATAAAATATGTTTCAAACAATCTTACATTTTTGCTTATCAATGGCTGAGAAAATAAAGTGTAATTAAACTTTATTTTAGTTAAGAAACAAATATTCGTAATCTATTACAAAATCCACAATTTTTTCTATACTGTTATTCATTACAAAAGGATGGATGCAATAAATTCTTCACCAAATTATCAATGAATTTAGATTAAAAAGTGATGACTTTGTTTGAAGGGATCATAAATTATCCCAATATTTATCCTAAATATCAATACATGAAAACATGTAATAATAAATTATTGTGTGTTTTGTTTCGCACGTTCTCTCAAAGTGTAAAAAAGTTTCATTCATTTCTATTGTTATCACTAAAAAACTTAATGATTAGCGAGATTTGAGACAAACAAATAGCGAGACAAATAAAATGTGTGTTGTTTTAGACTCAAGGAATTTTTATTTGTGTCTAACAGACAAATAAATATGTTATAAATTAAAAATTGTTTTGAAAATAACAAATTCCTTGAGTCTAAAAATGTTATTTGTGTGTATTTTTTTGGTGCCAAGACTCTGATCCAATGCAAACAAACAAGTACAATTTTTGATTATAATCCAGGTGAATTGCACACAATTAATGAGGCAAACGAGAATCTAAACAATGAATACCGCAATAAATTGGATAATTTAACGGAACCGCTGTTTGAAACAGTATGTGATTTAAATAATTAGTTTGTAAATCACTATCAATTTAATTAAACCAAATCTGATTGTCTGAATCGTTCAGTTAGTGGAGGAATCGCTCACATATTTAGGCATCGAAGAAGCCGTTTGGCAAAAGTCAAAGAATACCAGTTATTATGGCATCTCATTCGCCGTCGATCTCGAAGACAGCGATGCAGTCATTCAGTACTTTAAGGCCAGAGGTGTGGGCAGTAAGGGATCGAGTATTGGGTGAGATATCTGTTTACAAATACCTGTTATTAATATTAGTTACAAATAATTACAACAAATATCTTTATAATTATAGTATAATTCCCTTCTCATTGTACTGCTATGAGGATGAATTGGATCCGTTGGACGAGATTGAGCTCAAGTAATATTTTTTCAGCAATCAATCATTTATTAAATTAATATTTACTAATTTTTGTTACAATGATATATTGATAATCAGTGAAAATGGTGAGAAGGATGTGCAGCGAAAACTTAGCAATTTTAAGGCACTTCAGAGCAATTTCCTGAAGTCAGTGACGGCCCGACTCACTGTCGCTCAGGTGGTCGACAATGTGAGGAGCGGAGCGTCGCTCACATTTGACTTCGTGTGTTATCTCATATTCGCCTCTTGGATCGCAGCCATGGGTCTGCTCGACAATAGTGTCATCAGTTTAGTGGCCAGTATGTTGGTCTCACCCATGATGGTAAAACCTATTTTTTTTTGCCTGAAAAATTATTTATTTATCATTATAATAATAATATAATACATGTATTAAAATAGAAGTTAAATATGTGTTCGACGTTTAAAATCAAACTAAAGTTAAGGTTAAAATAATGTCTTGACGTTAACGTCCGACGTTTACAGTAATTAAAATTTATACAATAAAAAGTTTATACGTTAATATAATGATAATTAAAAGCCCTGCTATGTATGCAAGGAATAAATGATAGTCATATAATTTTCTGTCTTCTGTATGTAAAGTATAACCTCGTAATCTTGTCTTCTAACGTGTTTGACGTCAACGTTGACGTCAGTCATCCTAATTGTCATTAAATTCCTTTAAGTTTCCTATAATTTCTTTTACAAACGTCACGTATTCTGTTAACAAATCTTCATGTCTTAAAACTTCGGTGAATACTTTGAAGTCGACAGACTTTGCTGAACAAACGTATTCAATTCGACGTCTGAACGTCACGAATTCTGGGCACTCATATAATAAATGTTCAATTGATTGTTCTGTTCTGTTATCGCATGGACACGTCGACGTATCAGAAATTTTAAATCTGTTGAGATTTTTGTTGTTAAATCCGTGACCACTTAGCACTTGTGACATTTCGAACGTCGGCTCTAAACGTTTACTCATCTGACGTCCATGATGTATTGATGGGAGAAAAGTCTTTGTCACTGAACCGGTTTGAGAGTCGATGTAACGATTATTCCACTCTTCTATAATCTCTTCACGTATTAGATGTTTAGCTGTTGTTAATGGGAAATCAGTGAATACTGGAGACGTTCTCTTTGACGTCGCAGCCTTTGCCAAACCATCCGCAGCTTCATTACCAGGGATACCGACATGAGCTCTCGTCCACGTGAACGCCCACAGCGTCTGACGTTCAGTCAGACTTTGAAGTTGTTGATGAATTCTGTGTACAATAGGGTTAACACTGCTTCGATTGCCGAGCGCTTGGAGTGCAGACTTTGAGTCAGAGAAAATTCTAATTGATGACGTCCGACGTCTAAGAGTGTATTTTAATGCGGCCTCAATGGCTGTTAGCTCAGCCTGAAAGACAGAACAGTCGTTTCCGAGTTTTTGTGTTTGATGCGATATTTTATGTTTGTTCGCATAAACTACGAAAGCACTCCCGACTTTGCCATCCAGTTTACTTCCATCAGTATATATTGAAATGTCGACATCTGACTCTAAATCGTTAGCGGCTTCCGACGTCTCGACGTCATTGTGTGAAACTGTTATACGATTTGCCGGATGTTCCAACGTTCGAAAGTCCACGCGTCCTTGATATTCGGAATCCGATGGTATGTGTTGTGAAATACCCGTAGTCTTGACGTCGTCAATCATTGAAAGTTCGCGAATTCTGAGATCTATTGGTATTAAATTTGCAATCGCCAACGCTGACGTCAGAGACATTGTCCGAAAACCACGAGCAACACGTATTGCAAACGGGCGTTGGAATTGGTCTAATTTACGCCGAATGTAGTCGTACTTCAGTGCCGATGACCAAATGTTACACCCATACGTCAGCCCCGGTTCGATGGCCTGCTGATACATAACACGAATAACTTCAGACTTCACCCCCCACGTTGGACGTGCAACTTTTGCGAGGGCTCGATAAACTCGTTGTGCCTTATTTATTGCATATAATACGTGATGAGTGAATTTGAGGCCCTGATCTATGATTACGCCGAGTAATTTGATTTGTGAAGAGATTGGTAGTGAACGTCCAGCCATTCCAACGTTCAATAAACGTGCCGGCTTTGTGAACGCTATAACTTGTGTTTTATCTGCTCCAAACGTCAACTTCATTTTGGAGCCCCAATCGCTAATTACTTGAAGAGATGCTTCGATATTCGTTTTGAGAACGTCGACGTCTTTGTGGTGACACATGAGTAAAACGTCATCAGCGAATGCTTGCAACGAACAGCCGTCCGGAAGTTGAACACTGAATATGTCGTCGAGAATGATATTCCAAAACGTTGGCCCACAAACAGAGCCCTGAACACATCCTTTGGTCATCCGTTTGGACGTTGTCTCGCCAGCGTAATGAATTCTGACTTCTCTATCAGTCAAATAATGTTGGATAAGTCTGTATATATTTCTCTTGATACCACGTCTTTCCAATCCGTTAAGAAGTGCCGGCCACCAAGCGTTGTCAAAAGCCGCTGCAATGTCTAGAGAGACGGCCGCGACTTGATGACCGTTCGACTTTGACGTTCTGATGAAGTTGACAACAGACCTGATGGCGTCTAACGTTGACGTTTGTTCAGTAAACCCAAACTGTTTTCTTGAAAGTTGGTTACGTCTGTGAAAATCCCAAGTGATGCGACGTTTAAAAAGGGATTCTAATCCTTTGCCAAAAACAGGTAAAAGTCCTATCGGACGGTAAGACTTCAACTGACTGTAATCATCTTTTGCTGGTTTTGGGAGGATTTTCACCGTTGCAGACTTCCACGACGTTGGGAATAATCCAAGTGTTAGACATTTGTTGTAAAGTTCTGTTATAATATCTGGGAATGTTTTGACAAATTTTAAGGCAACGTCCGCAGTGATGTGGTCGTGTCCCGGCGCTTTCTTTGGGTTCATGTTTCCGAACACTTCGAGTATTTCGTCGTAAGTGAACAGAACGTCGTCCGTGGCGTCCGAATTGAGTATTGATGACGAACGTCGAACTTCGGTTTGTTGTTGTGTTTCATTAATTAACGTATCGTCAGGGTAAAAGTGGTTTAATAAAGCTGTGGCTGTAGTCTTAGCATCTGTTGTGTAGTTTCCGTTGATTAATAGTGTTGTTGGTGGGCGGGGAGTGGGAGAGTTTTTCAGAATGCGATAGATGTTAGACCAAACGTTGTCCCTTCCTTGGCGTCCAACGTATTCCTTCCAACTCTTAATTGATTCATCAGATATGAGTTGTGCGTACTCTTCTTTACACTTCTTGTATTCATCGATGGCTTCGGTCGGAGGTGTGTTTATTGCGTTTCGAAGCCGACGTCTCAAACGGTGAACTTCGCGCTTTTTGTCTTCAAGTTGTGACGTCCACCAGGGACATATCTTTTTGCCCCGCTTTCTCAACGGCATTGACGCAGCACAGGCGGAATTGATGGCATCAGTTAGACGCCCGACTAAATCATCCAACATTGCAACGTCTGTGATAGACTTTACCGATAATATATTGACGTCAAAATTCAAGAGTCCTTTATTGCACACTTCAGTGAAGGTGTCCCAGTCGGCCTTTTCACTCCTATACTTAAACGTCGATAATGTGTCGGTTGTAATTAGCTCTTCTCCGAGATCGATGTCAAACAAAATTGGGTTGTGATCACTATTAACTATAATGTCTTGTTCGACTTTCCAGTTTCGGACGTTTGATAGAGCAGCGTTCGAGGCCAACGTCAGATCAACAACAGACATGAGACGTTGATGACCACGTATTGTGTCAAACGTCGGCGTGTTTCCACTGTTAATTAGTTCAAAGCCATCTGACGTACAGAATTGTGTAATTAAAATACCGTTTTCGTTGTTAATTCTATTCGGGTCCCACGACACGTGTGATGAATTAAAGTCACCACCAATGACAACTCTTTGGGCAGTAATTGATGCGTCCGAAAGTTTTAATATAACGTCCGAAATGTTTGTTTTTGGTGGGTTATAAATGCTGCAAAGCCGGAACGTTGAACTTCCGACTTTGACGTCAACTGTTGTAATATCTGATGAACTGTACTGTGTTTGAAGTATTGGCTGGACGTTGGGATTAAAGATAAGTATAGCGGATCTAACAACTCCTGTTAGGTGGCGTTGAAAGACTTGGACTTTAGATGTACCCTTGACGTATCCAAGGGCACCTACATAAGGCTCTTGAAGTAAAGCAACGTCGACGTTGAGATCGACACACTTTTCTAGAAGTTCTTTATGACATTTTAGAGATCTTTGGCAGTTGAGTTGAAGTACTTTGAGGTGATTTTTGGGGTTAACAGACATAGTCAGTCATTTCGGTGGCTCTCATTTGCATTTTCTGAACGTGCGGACAATACTTCGACGTCGCAGCGTGCGACGTCTGCTCCTGTTTACCATATTTGACGTTTGACATCTGGCAGTTAATACATTTCATCGCTGTCCTGACTTCGCGTTGTGTGCATTCAGACGTTTTGTGTTCTTCAGCACAGTGTCCACATGTGTCGTGATTTTGATTGCAATTCTTTGCGGTGTGACCAAAACCAAAGCACTTATAACACTGAAGAAATGACGACATATGGCTGACGTGTACTCTCTGGTAACCAACGTTAACACGTTCGACGTTCTCCAAAAATTTAAATACTTTTGGTGAGACTTCGATCACATAGTTAATGAGACGGTCGTTGCGATTCTTGCGTCTGAAACGTATTTTCAAGTGTTCTTCTCTAAAGTCATTGCCGATCGCCGACTCAACGTTCGAATTCTGATCAACAAGTGATTTGATGAGCTCTTCTTCCGTGACATCTTTGAGAACTCCTTTGAGTTCAATCAGCGGTCGTTTCTTTTTGGACGGTTCAGACGTCAGAACGTCCGACTTTTCATTGATTTCTTTAATAATAATATCTCTCTCCCTTTCCGTCTCAAACTCGAGTCTAATGGTGTTGTTTGAGAGACGTGTGATGCGATTTATCCCAACTTTGAGTTTACGGGGGTTGACTGTTGTCATGAAAAGTTGACTTATTTTCTGATGATTATGAGTGTCTACTTTGGACTTTACAACTGACGAGAACGTTGGACGCAATGGTATAGGTGTTGAGGTGAACGTCGGCGTGGACTTGTTTGGTAAGACGTTGTGTTTGTCTGACGTCGACGACAAATTATTAGCGACAACTCCGGCGAACGTCTTCTTTTTCAGTGAATCGACGTCTTTACGTATGCTTTCTTGTCCAGCGATGAGTGACTTAAGAAGAGTTTCAACGTTCGATGGAACGTCAAACGCTGTGTTGGGCTGAACGTCCGCGTTAACGTTCAATGAGCCGGAAAACGACGCCATTTTGGACCGGATATCGGCTGCTATCTCCCGAAGGGCGGACATCTCGGCCATAACACTTACCTTAATTGATTTCTTGAAGTTGCCGGAATAGTCGAGGAGCGCATCAACCTTGTCGGCAATGGCATTAATGGCCAAATCGGGCAAAAACTGTTGAGCGTCGGCGTGGTTGGCATGTGTTGTTGTCGTTGCCGATGATGTGGCCATCGGCGGCTCTGATCCGGACAAAGTGTTGGACATATCGCCGTCGGGGAGTAATCCAAGGATGAATGGCATCAAAAACACAACACAATTAACACAATTTAAACAAATTAAACAAAACACTAGTGGAGCACAAAAACAATGCGACTGCTCTCGTTGAGAGCTCTTGTATCTTCGGTAAAACCTATTCAACCCACACTATGCCCTACTTTAAACAATATGAAATGATCATAATTAAACAATTGTATTAATTTTGATCATATGGTTTAGGGACCGGTAATGGCGATGACATTTGGCACCATCATTAAGGATAGATCACTCCGGAGGCTTGGGTTCAGGAATTTAGGCGTTTGTTTTGCAATAACTATATTATTTGGTAAACAATTTTCTTTACAATTTTTTCCCTTAAAAAACTAATAAAAATCTATGTCAAACCCCAAAACGAAAGGCTACTTCTTTGGCTTAATTGCGCTAAACTTCACGAAACACTGGAACGCAGAGCAGGAATGGCCGACAAATATGATGAGGGAGAGGGGTCTGCCTCGGGTGGCATGGGTTGGCACACTCGTCGCCTTCCCGTCCGGCTGTGCGGTCGCCATATCGTTGTTATCGGGAAACGAGGCCTCACTCGTAGGCGTTGCCATCTCTGTCTCATTGCTTCCGCCGGCAGTCAATGCTGTAATTGATTGACAAATATTTTTACAACATTTCAAATATAATCACAAACTTAACTCGTTTTGTATATAAAGGGTCTGTTGTGGGCGTTCTCTACGCTGAAAACCCTGTACTCGATTAGCGAAGACCCGGTCGATACCAACTATACTACAGGTGCCCAACGATCGTACCTTAATCTCTGTAAATCGCTGACACCCGAAGATAAATACATTCCCTATTATAACGACAACATCGCTATAGAGACGGCTATTTTGGGCGCTTTGAGTCTTATATTATCGTTGATTAACATAACCAACATATTTATCGGTGCATTGATTTTGCTAAAGGTTTGCAAAAATACAAATTTTTAATTACATTTCATAATTTGTGTGAAAATTAAATAATTTTGTGATTTTTATAATTAACCTAGATCAAAGAGATCGCACCATTATCTACAATGTCACCAAACACTAGACGCTTCTTTCAGGAAGACATTAAGGTATTTATAGACTTCACTTTTAATCCAAGTCTTGAAAGCCTTAATAATAAATACAATTTATATTTTAAACCCCAATTTATAACAACCCATCAATAGATTGCACGCGAATATAATGCAGAGCACGGAAGCAGTAGTGATAATATGGGCGAACGGGTGCTCAAGGAATGGGCGGTAAGACATCCGACATAATATACAAAACACATTAACTTAACATTAATGAAGACAAAAAGATTATTGAAGTTTTTTGTAATACAATATCTTAATGGCATTTGTTATCCATATAATTGTAAAGGACATGAATGGGATCGACGCCAACGAGTTGTTATCAAACACCCCCGAAGCCCGAGTCACACAATTTCATACACTTAATGATATTGTTAGGGACGTCGAGGCCGACGATGTCTACAGATCTATTCAACGGACCAGACTATCCACACATAATGTATTTATTTATTAAATTAAAAGTATTTTTAGTTGTTATTATTGTCTCAAATGACATATAAATGTAATAACATGTAATTAAATTGCAAAACAATTTTTCCGCTAATTATAGGCCGATTTATTGCGAAGGATGAGCCAAAGCCTGTTTCAGCCGCCGATGAATAACATGAATAAAGAGAGCGGCGGAGGAAAGGATAGCCGGCGCCGGAGTAGCGCTGTGTCCATAAATATGTCCAGTTATCGCATTTCGGGCGTCGAAATGGGAGCCATCGCTAATCGCCGTAACGGTAGACGACCCTCTCGTTTGTCACAAATAGCGCCCACTATTATTGTAATATTCATCGCAATTAACATTTTTTTAAAAGTATCGCTTATTTATAATCCGTTTATATTAAAAGACATCGGATGTGGATTACGACCGGTTCTCAATGGGTGAACAGGTGTCTCGACCGCCGACGCCGACCATCAAAATGCCACTTTCGGCGGGAATACAGCCCAGAAATAGCGATGTCTTTACGTTTGGCGACAACCTGTTAGTGAATGATATGAATCGATCGAGAAATAGAAATAGTCTACTATTGCGGCGATCACTGCATCAGACCGACCACTCGCGCTACAGCCTATGGCCGCGATCGGCGCCCCCGGTGTCGCCCTCATCGATACCCCGATTTGTGGTCACACCGGTTACCGACTCGCGGACCGAACAGCAAAACTTTAATTATTAATTACTATGTAATCATTATATTTTTTGTGTGCATTTATTCATTATTATTATTATATTTTTTTTATCATTTATTAAAAATCATTATATCGTTATATCGATAATATAAATAACAAATTACAATATATTTACTTTTTAAATTTAAGCAAAATAGAATTTTATTATTTATATAAAATTAATATTATAACTGGGTTAATTTATAGAGACTAGAAAGTAAATGTCTATTGTACATTATAGTGGCTGACATTTAATACAAAGCAAATAAGTAAATATTAAAGTTGATAAATTGTATTCAATTGACATTTAATTGTTTACATTATATAATTAAGAATTTATACCGCAATATAATAAATATATTCTTTATTTATTGTCAGACAAATGTTTAGACAACTGTTTCAATACAAGTGTCATTTCATACAAACTTTTATTTGCAAAACTCTTAAAATAATGTCCTTAAGTATCATAGAATAAATTAAAACTAACAAGCTTGTATTTCTCAATTGTTTGAAATACGGCTTTAATCACAAGTGCCAATTCAGTATCAATAAATAATATTATGCAATGACAGGATTTGGATGACAGGATTTGGATGGCATGAATAAAAACTAATATCAGGGTGAATCTATGATAATCTATATAGCATACAATAACGAAAAATGTGAAAATTATTTTTGTAAGTCAAACCATTTTGTACCAGGATCATATTTTGTGTCAAAATTCAAATTCAATTTGCGTGCTATCTAAACAAGATATTCAAAAAATTTCAACGGATCCATGAATTATAAGCGAAGTAGTATTCATATTAAAAGGGTATTTTCATTTAAAATTGATTTTAGTTACCAAAAATAACGTTTAAAACACAAAATACTCAATATGACCATCTTCCCCTCGTGGAACGTA